CCCCAAATTTGCCCCACGGGAGGACGGGAGCCTGCCACTGCTGCCTGGTGCCAGTGGCAGCACCAGTCTTCCTAGGCAGGCTGCACCCAGCACTGGTCCTAGTCAGCAGTGGCAGTCATCCTGAGCAGATCCAGGGACCCACACCCACAGAAGGAGTGTTGCACAACCCCACAGTCCTCCCGTGGGTGCGGGCCCCCAGATCTGTGCGCAGGAGGACAGGAAGCTGCCACTGCCGGCAAGTTGCACGAGTTTTGTTTGTCAGCAACTTGAGGTGCAGTTTCCCAGAAACCCCTGCATGTATCTCCTTGAAAATTGGCAGGCTTCATGCCCTCAGAAGGGGCTACCATTCCTGCAGTTTTCATCCAAATAAGGCAGTAAATGACCAAGTTATAGGCATTTTCATGATTGCCTATTATAGCCTATGGGCGAAATGTCGAAATGTGTTGAAACAGCAAAACAGTTGCGATGAAACAAAATGGAACAGTGCTTCGAAACTAAACAAAATGATGAAATGAAACACTGTCCCTTCTAAATGGTGAAACAGAAGTCAAAATGAAAGAGTGCTGTTTTGCACAGCCCTCTCTTATACTCAGAACACAATAGCAAGTCCCCATCATGATGTTAGACCTGATTAGTGCAAAGAAATTTGCTGTGTGGTCATCTTGGGCATGCATTGATTCTTTCACATAAGTGCTGAAATGGCTGCCAATTACTGTATGAAGTAGGAGCCAATACTGAGTGGGCGTGTCTACACATTCATTAATGTGCTTTTAGTAATGTGCATTAAATTTAGTACTTCCAGGTGCCTGTACACAAGCATGGAGCGTGCTCCAACACGCTGTAATTACAGCATATTAGAGCAGACTCGATGAATTGAATCTGCTGGAACCTGGTAATTACTGCACTCCATCAGCCTCTTGTGTCTCGTGTATCAGTGTCCCCATGCTTCAAAATGGCTTCGGGGCACTCGAATTAAAGCTTGTTTGATGAGCTTTAGTTCAAGCACCCCTGCCACCATTTTGAAGTGCAGGGCCGCTGATACATGAGATGCTGTGGCGCTTTAATTAAAGTACCGCCCTTCCCACCTCCAGAGCATGTGTAAAAGTGGCCTCCATTGTGAAGTTCTAGAAAAAGGCACACTAGCCTATTTTAATGCACATTAGTGAAAGAGCACACTTTCTGTGATGCTTTAATGCGCATTATAATAAATTCATGCACATTAAGGAGTACTTGTAGATGTGTCCAGTTAGTCCAAACTGTTTTGATCTATTGAATACAAATGTGGATGACACGAATGTGTCATAGAGTCATAGAAAAGTAGGGCTGGAAGGGATCTCCAAAGGTCATCTAGTCCTACCCCTCTGCCTGAATTAGGATCCAAACCATCCTGCACAATCCATAATCTAAACTCTACATAAAACTACTGTCAATCCTGGCGCAACACAGACCTGACACCCTAACCTGCCAGAGGTAAAGCAGGGGAACCATGGTAGCCAATGTCCTGCTTCTATGAAATGTTGTCAGTATATGCTTAAGAGATCCCAGGTTGAGTGCCACACCTCCTGCTACAGAGGAAGCTAAATCCTCCCGCAATCTGTACTAATCTGACTATGGGATAAAATTCCTTGCTGACACCAAATATGGTGATTGGTTTGACTCTGACCTGTAGCCAGGGGCCCCACTAGCTTTGGTCCCAGCTGGAGCATTGGCTCACCCCAGAAAATGTTTCAAAATAAAATAGTCTGGTTGTCCTTCCACTACTGCCCACACTGCTAGATTAGTCTTTTGAAATCTCCTCGAACCTGTTGCTTCAGAAACTGTCTGATAAAGTTCTAAAGGCCATTGAACCTGAAATGCTTTTTAAGCAGTTATTAAAATTACTTCTCTTCAGAACACAGATTAGCATGGCTAATATGCTGGTGCTTGAGACGACAGAGTCAGTGGAATTTACATATTTTCAAAAGTTTTACTTGTTTTGTGTTACTGGTCTTGCTGTTATAAATTACTTGTAAGATTGATGAATCAGATCTGTCCCTTTTATTAGAAATTACAGAATAAACAGTTTGACAAAGACTTGTATTCAGTACAAGTATATATAGTTCTGATTCAGCAAAGCTCATGGGTTCACTTTAAACTCAATTCCTGTTAATCACAGTTTAACCACGGTGCTAAACTTCACATTCTGTTGAAGTCAAGGTGCTCCCAGTTTCCAAAATTTATAACTTAATTAAATACATTTATACAAAACACTATAGTGATATATTTCAGCTATGCTTGAATCAAGACTCTGAAATTACAATTATTTGTGCATTTTCAGCTGTATTGGGAAGTTTCAGGTGCACCGCATACATTTTCAAATTTATGCTCAGTTTTGGAACATGGTTTTTAAATTTCTGCCTGTATTTACTTAAAATGTGCGTTTTTGTTCTTTTTGAAGATGCATTAGCATTAAAGATGTGTTTGTAATGTAACTTTACCATTAAAATAGACCATTTCAAAAGAATATTAAATCCTATCTTTGCAAGGTATATTTGTTTTTGAGACGTATATAGAACAAAAATATCAAAAAACTTTTGCTTCAGCAAATGTGTAGAACCTGTTTTATATTAGTGAGGAGATGTGATACTAAGGGAAATTATCTGACGCATTTTTTCCAATATTGAAATATATAAAATGTTTTTGATTTAGGTTGAAGAAGAACGTAATGAAACACAGAGACAACTCTCTCAGGAAAAAAGTGCCAGAGCTCTTCAAGAAGGTATTTTAAACAACCACCTTTGGAGGCAGAAGGAAATAGAAGAGGAAACTAGAATAACTATAGCTAAGAGTGCAGAAGTAAGTGGTTTTCTGTTCACTTCAAGTAAAATTACACTATATTTATAGTGGTGTAAGAGTGGCTATTGTAGCTGTGATGATCCAGAAATTATGAGAGAGGCAAGGATTTCTTAAGGTAATATCTTTTATCAGACCAGCTATGTGGCTGGATGGACAGGCTTTTGAATGCAGGACATTTTTCCTCAGGACTATATTTATAATAAAGGTAAACAGAAGCGTTTGGAGTATTTTTTGTTTGTTTGTTTGTTTGTTTTCACTTGTGGCATTGACTTTAAATGCCAAAATATTTTCCAGAGTGTTTTGTTTATGAAAATGGTATAGATTTGCAAGCCTTTTTTTCCTTTTCACTTTTAGCTTTAAAATCAAGGATTTGATAGATGTTGCTCTGTAAAACATAATAAAGTGAACTTATTTTGTAATGTAAGTGACACTTTGTCATCAAATTCTTCAGTTTTCTGCTTGAATATTTTTGTAAGAAGAACATTTTTTGTTTTGTTTTAATTGCTTTTAACTTGTTGGGAGTGACAAGGAAATTAAGCTGACATATTGAACTAATATCTTTTCTGACTAAAGTACTATCAGCATACTATTTGAGGTTCCTGCTGGTATTCCTTTGTTTACTGACAGCACTGTGTAAAGCAGAATGTGCACACCTTCTGCAGAACTTTATACTTTTCAACTTAACCAATTTGGTATGGAAGACATTGAGATGATAACACCAGATTCTGAGATTCCCTGTTTTACAGTAAATTTTGATCATTTAGTAATGAGATTATACAAAGTATCCTTCAGGCTCACAGTGAAAAGTTTGTTTGGCACTAATACAATAATTTTGGGTGATTGCATGGTTTCTACTACTTTTTGTGCTGGAGGCAACAAATCCTATTAAGAATAGACAACATATAAACTCATCCTGAAAAAAATATGCTCTGGTCTATTACCGCATTATGTGAAAGTCTGGTAATTGAGGAATTCTTTGCCTTGTAGTCCAAAATGCTCTGTACCATGGATAAATATTCCTGCACCGAACAGAAGAAAATATTCAAGTGGAGAGTATATAAGGGCCTTCCTGCTAGCCCTGCACTAGCATCCTCTGCAGTATGTTGAGCCAGGGCGGAACAGCTCTGGGTTGGCAGGCTGACCCTCTAGGTCCCCTCTAGCCAGGATTGCGCTGCCTGAGTTCTACATGCTGTGATCTCAGGCTCAAATGTAAATGCTGTGTCCAGGAGCAACAAACTCTGGCACGAACAGCACTGGAGTTTTAGATTATTTATTACATTAATAGCACATGTAAATGCACCTGAGGTTACATACTGAAAGTTCCAAATTTGGGAGGAAAAGGAAATGAAAAAAGAACATTTTTCACACATAGCTAATGTTCAAAATCAACTCATAGCTAATGTTCAAAATTAAAAGGAAGTATGTTCAAATAGAAATAATCAAAGAAAAGAAAAGAAAAACAATAAATAAAGTTAAGTTGGAACACAACTAAAGAAATGGGATATACAGGATTGTTCCTAATTCTGCCAATGAGATAGCAACCATAAAGTACATTTTTAAAGAAGTTTTTAATCCTTCGATTGTTACTTTTAAAAAAGAAGCCATGAATGAGATTTACTGTTTTGGTTGGAGTGACATTTTTAGTTCTGAAATATGTATATATTGGAAGATAGCATGAGGTCAAAGTCTTTTCAGCAACTTTGATTGTAGTTTGTAGTTAAACTGTTTCATAAGTTATCCTTGATTATTAAAAATAAAATGCTTTTTCGTGTGTTAAGTATTACATATATATTCGTTATTCATCCTCAGCATCCTGGTTTTGTGTTCTTAATTACTCAGATACCTGATAATCATGACAGAGAAAAGGATTTGTTACACAAAAATCAGATACTGCAAGATGAAATTGCTATTCTAAGAATAGAACTTGATCGGATAAGAATTCAGCACCAGGAGGAAGAAACTAAATATTTGGAAGAAAATGAAGCCTTGAAAGAAAAAAATGAAGATCTTAAAAAGGAACTAAAACTAAATGAGGAAGCTCTAACACAGACGGTTTTTCAGTACAATGGACAGTTGAACGTATTAAAGACAGAATCTACAATGCTAACCTCCAAAATAGAGCAGACAAAAGAAAACAAAGACAGGCTGGAAATAGAGCTTGAATCATTTCGTTCTCGTTTGAATTCTGCTGTTCAAGAACTTGAACGCTGTCAGGCATCAAAAAGCGATGTCGAAAGGACATTGCAAAGAGAGCGTGACGAGTGGCTTCGTTTACAAGACAAGCTTAGTCATGACCTCTCAAATCTACGAGAGACCAACAATAGCCTGTCTCAGCAGCTTAGTAAGGCTGAAACCAAAATTAATGGTTTAGAAAATGAACTTCATCAAGTAATGCAAACTGTTAGAGAAAAAACCTTGCTTTTAGAGAGCACTCAAAGAGAACTAAACCAGGCACAGTGTCAGGCAAAGGAACATGATCATGCTCGACAAATGGATAAAGATCAAATAAACAAGTATTTTGTAAAACAGGAATCAATGCAAGAACGATTGGCTCAGCTCCAAAGTGAAAACCTTTTACTCCGGCAGCAACTGGAAGATATGCAAAATAAAGGGATTATTAAAGAGAAAGTAGTGAGTGATGTCCAAGACAGATTTAATGATATTTTCAATAAGCTTAGAGCTGATACAGAAAAACAAGTTCATATGGTAGAAGAAAGAAATAAGGAATTAATCACTAAATGCAATACTTTAAGAGATCAAGTCTTTAAATATGAAACTGAGAAAGTTGAAAGAGAGGTAAGCATAACATTTGCAAAGCAGTTCACTTTACGCGTCTACTGGACAGTGAGAATAGAAACTAGAATAGCATAGGGGAAACCAGGGGAACGACACAAGCAGAAGTTTAGGAGAGAGGAAATGGGAAACAAGTGAAAAAGAGGAGTATTAAAGAATATCTGTAAGCCATGGAGCAAGAAAAAAGAGGTTTAACACCAGGTATAGTAAATGAGGGTGTGAACTGAGTGGATACAACTAAGAGTAGTTTTAGGTTCAATCAATTGATGGTATGATAAAAAGAGGACAGGCTGCTCCAATGCATGCAATTACAGCACATCAGAGCAGATTTGACTAATCGAGTCTGCTGGAACATGGTAATTACCATGCTCCAGCAGCCTCCCACATCTTGTGTATCAGCAGTATTGAAAAATGGCAGTGGGCACACTGCTGCTATTTTTAAGAGTGGGGATACTGATACACGAGACGCTGCAGCACTTTAATTAGAGTGGCGTTTGGAGCCACTCTAATGAAAGCACTGAACTCCTTCCCTCAGAGCAAGTGTAAAAGTGCCCTCCATTATCAAGTACTAGAAAAAGGTGCATTAGCCTATTTCATGCATTTTAGTGAAAGCTCATGCTTTTCCGTGACTCTTTAATGTGCATTAAAATAAGCTAATGTATAATAAAGCACACATGTAGATGCACCCATTGACTACAGTGGGTGAAATGATTTGCTGCTATTATAGGGCTTCTCTAGCATTATAGTCACCATTTAATGCACTCCTAAATATATCAGATGTACTTTTTTCTAGCTCTCGGGTTTTTATATCCTGATATAGTCTTTTCATAATAATTTATGTATACTTTGTCAATACTAACCTGAAGTTGTTTCATTAGGGGATGGTAAGACAACTGCAGCAAGAACTTGCTGATGCTCTTAAAAAACAGTCAATGTCTGAAGCTTCACTGGAGGTTACAACACGTTATCGAAACGACTTGGAAGAGGACAAAATGCACTTGCAAAAAGAAATAGACAGGATTAAATCCAAGGTAGGCCAATGCAATACAAACTAATAGAGCTGCAGTTGGTTTGTTTTTTTCAAATAATGAAAGCCACAGAATGTTTTGATTATTTTAAGAATGTTATTAAATAGAATCGGCTTCCTGTATTAGGTTAGATTTTTTGTCATAAAGGGAAGGAATTGTGGTATATCACAACTCATAAAACTAAATGACATTTCTCTGCGTAGATTTTCATTTTACAGAATGCACAATATTGTACTTGAAACATCAAACTCACAGTCAAAAGGCTAATTTCTATTGCAACTAGAATCCTACAAATTTTCTTAACAATCATCTTGTGGTAAGCATGCCAATTTGATGTTAATGGTAAAAGAAAAGCAAATCATTTTTACTCCAGTTGTTGCTTTGTACTGACAGAAGTTGTGGTCATGCTAGAAACAGCATTTATGAGCTCTGAAGGAACTTGTCTATAGATGTTTGGTTATAAAAGATCTCACAATACTTGGAGCCTTGAAGAAAGCAAATTTCAGTGTCCTAACTAGTCTTCCAAAATTTACTATCCAAAACTAATTGGATAGTTTAATAGGGTTCCATCTTGTAAAATAAGTGACACTTCTGCCTGTTGTAAGCCAGCATTAGTTATACCTAAAAAATAATGGTCTCTCAGAGCTGTATTTTTCTTTTTTTAAACATTACAGAAGACCTGCTCTCCTACTTTGAGCAGAATTGGAGTAATATATTTTACTTGCAGCAGCTGCATTAAGGAGCTAAATATTTGAAACTTACAAGCTGCAAATACTGGCTTATGCATGAACTCAGGTAGTGAGTGTTTCACTATTCTTCTTTCTTAGTCATTGAAGACTGTACCATCATTCTCTCTGTCATTCAACCCTGTAACCTGGGCTTCATATGCAACTTGAATTTTTCTGAAGGTCCTCAGATCCTGGCTGTGTATTTTTTAAGAAAAAAATGCATACTATTAAGATACCACCTTTCCTATTCATCTGCAGAGCTAAAACTCATCTAGATAGATACTGGTCGTTTTGAGACTCAGTTGGTAGACCATCCTTTCTTTTTTTCCCCTCACTCTGGTTTTGACCAATTCACTTTTGCCCTCAGAATGCTACTGTAACAATTATTTTTCTAGCCTGTTGCTTTGGCTACATCATCCCTCTGTTGGCATTGCTCCTCTGGCTCCCCATTCCCTACTACATCAAGCGTAAATGATTTGTCATTATTTTCAAGGCTCCTCACAGCCCACATCTTTTCTCATTCTGTAGCAAGGTGTTAACTGCTGCCTCTAGTTAGTCTTTAATGCCAGCTTTTATTGCCCACTTGTTAAAGTTTTGAATGGTTTTGCAGTCTTGGTTTGGACAACTTGCAGGGAATCAGTCTAGGAACTAAAGAAGCCAAAATAGAGGAAATTGCAGTAACATTCTAGGAAGGCAGTAACCAGAACATGGGCAATGTTCAGCCATTCAGACAGAAATGTCTTAATTTTTTTAATTCCAGATAAAATAATCAACAGCAGTTCAAAATCAAAAACAGTTCAATGATTTGTGAGAAATGTTAAATTTGGGACTTTTATTGCCTTTTTTTTCTTTCATGAGAGAGGGAGTAAATGTAAAAGTTTGAAATGTTCATACTTAACTGAGTAGAGCAGGTACACATGCACAATGTTTGAATTTTGATTTTGGTATTCAGCAATGATTTATATATTTGTTATATATTTGCATTTTGAAAGTCATGCAGTTATCATTTACATTTGTGTTTCTTTTTTGTTGTTTGGTTTGGTGTTTTGTTTTGATTTTTGTTTTTGTTTTTACAGCTGCAAGAATCAGAAGAACAGTATATTCAATCTGAGCGACATGTTCATGATTTGAAAAATGCATTGGACAGCAAGGAACGGGAAGTGATTGCTTCTTCTCAGAAACTGGAAGACCTTTTAGTAGCATCATCTGGAACGAATAATGCTATAAAACAACTGGAAGAACATGTACAACGGTAAGAAAATAACTGACGTGTTGAAACTGTCTTATTTATTTTTTATTAGTTTTACATTATAAAGTATCGTTTTATATAAATAATTATTTTAAAGCTTTCAAGTTTGTGCTGTTGTAGATTTAGAGTTTAGCCCTGAAAAAGGATGTTATCACATATTACAAAGTCTGTTTCCTTTTAAGACTTGAAATTGAAAATGCCAGATTGGAAGCTACAACTAAACAGCAAACAATCAGAATTGAGGTACTTCAGAAAGACCTGCAGGAATCTGTCTCAGTAAGTCAGTTATAGGTTTAACTTTTTCATATTTTTTATTGCAATTATGTAGTAAGTGTATGTTTACAAAAGAGCTGTAGGGA